ATTATTTTTTTATTATTAATGTATACAGTGCCGGTCATTAAGAAATACGAAAACGCTTTTTTTCAGATGATTTTGACCATTTTCTGGAGTCTGGAGCTCGGCTGTCTTTTCAGAACAATTTGAAAACTTCAGAAGTTGTAAAACAGACCTAAATTGAAAACTTTGCATTCATTCAAATTTTTTGAATATTACTACTTTTCAGTTATTTGCCGATGTTTGAAGAACATCCTTTTGGCTCGTTTCCGAGCTGAAAACTTAAAAAAAACAAGCGTCCTTCGAAATCCCCAATTATTTGGAAAACTAGGATTTTTCGAAAAATTCTGTGAATGCAAAGTTTCCAATCTAGGTCTGTTCTACAAAGTGATCGGACACTTAACAGCCGAGTTCCAGACCTCTGGAAATGGTCAAAATGGCCAAATATTAACTAAAAAATAGTTTTTCTATGTTTTATCAAACGGTACTGTATGAATTTTTAAAGACATGTTGAACATTTTCCAACAAAAACATAGGAATATAGGAATACATAGGAAAACATAGTTTATTACGGATAACGTTCAAATCCTTCAAAAATCGTTATTTTTGAACTAAAATTGAGTCTCAATGAGCAAATTCTCAAAATTTTCGAAAATATTTGCAACCCTAAGAAAACCACTGAAATGTTTATTTAAAATGATGTGCACCTATGTAACTAAAATTAACCGAGAACAATAGATGAGTAAGAATTTCAAGATAACTCCTCCAGCCTCCAAACATTTCATCAGAAGCCTTTTTTTCCCGTCTGACGGAATGAAAAAGTGTTCTTTCAAGACAGCTGATACACGTCATTTCTTTGAGAGCTCCCCAGTAGCCGCCGACATGACCTGACCCCAATCTCTTCAGTTCCAACACGTGTTAAAAAAAGTACATAAAGAAATTGATCAGACATCATTTGAAGAAAAAATAACGAAAAATTCCGAAAATTCATTTCGTCTTTTCAGCTCTTGGAGGTTTAAATTGTGATGTGGCAGTTCAAACAATTCAAACAATTCAAGAAAGACTTCAAAGAGAAATTTCAAACAAGAAGAAAAGATGAGTCAACATAAGATATTTCATGTTTTTATGAATGAATTCCAACAATGTTTGAGAAAACCGGAAATTGGAATTTATTACGTTTACAAGCGTTCAGAAATGAATTGAGGGAGAAAGGAATTTGAAAATAGAATTGTTTTCAAGTTTTGTACTACTTTTAGGTTAGGTTTGAAAATTGTCTTACTACATATTACTCTTTAATCTTCATCATAGTCCTTCACCTCTTATTTTGATCATAAACGGTTTTCTTATCAGCAGCATATACGTCTCCACCTTTTCTTCATTTTCTCTTTTTCCTTTCTCCCCTTATTTATTATCTTATCACTTTCGTCCGGAAGGTAACGAAGACGAATGATTGAACGAGAGGAAAAGAAGACGTACACCTTTGTGGTATTAGAGTAAGAAAAAAAGAACAAGAAAAAAAATAAAATACTACAGAAATGAATTATATACAACTGGTAAACTTGGTCAAGAGGAGATGAAAAGTCTTGAGAAACTAAATGAGAGAAAGAGACTGAGAGAAGAAAAGCGGGATTCAGGTCAACTACTAACAATCCTAATTGTGCGACCCACTAGTTAATTTCGGATCGAAGAATAGGGCGGAAACGGGGAATTCTGTCTTTGAGATGAAATAGAAATTCCAAGAAAGACCCACGACTCATACTTATTCGAGAAGTTTTGTTCCTGAAGATCGGAATTTTTTTCCCGAAAAATGTGTTCCTGAAATGTTTTCGGGATTATTTTTTTTTTGGAAATTCGGTTCCCGAAAATTCTCCCCGGGATTTTTTTCTGGAAAATCTTGTTTCTGAAAGTTTCCCAAAAAATATTTAAGGAATATTCGGGATTTTGTTTTTTTTCAAATCATTTGCATTTCTAACTATTCCAATCAATTTCCCTGAAAAACGACAAAAATGAGAAAAGACAAAACTTTGAAAATACTAGGTTAAAGAGTTTTCAAACATTTTTTAACGCAAAAACTTCTCGAAAAAAATTAGCAAAATTGCCAAATTTTTTTTGTGAATATTCCAGTCAAGAAAAATTCCCAACGAAAACCGGGAAAAACTGGGATAATTTTCTTTTTCCCAATTTGAACAAGTCCGCTGGTCACGCTGAAAGCAAAATTTTCAGAAAAGTGGTTTTCCAATGGTTCAAACAACATGAGCTACAATGGTCCTTGAGCAATGTCAAGTGGACAAAATTAGGAGCACTCTAGAAAATTCGAGAGAAATTTTTGATTTGAAAAAAACACAAATAGAAAGGTCCGAACGAAAAAAAAAAGGAATATTCAGAGGATCGAGTTAAAAATAATAGGTTGAAAAACTGGGATCTGAAATATTCAGTTTTATTCATAATTTTAGAAATTTGAAATCAAAATCCAATTCACTATAACCGCATAAAATCAATGCTCCTCTAAATCAATGAATGAAAATTTTTCTCAATCTGAGAATTTCAAATTCCTGAGACAGCCAGAAAAGTTACACAAAACGTAAGAGGACCACAAGCTAAGAAAAAATGGGTAGTCACATCTGCATGTGACATACGCGCCAAGTGTACTCTATTCTTCTATTCTTCTTATTCTTCTGCTCTTGGATTGTCATTTTGAAACAATGTGATTCCGAAGAAAAGTTTTACGACAACCCAGCACCAGTAGTCTATTGGAAAAAATAGTGGAGAGAAAGAGTTCTGAGTGTAAGAATGCAACGGAATGAGGTGAGATTCGAATGTAGGCTAAATTGCAACATTTCAAATCCAATCCGTTATCCGCTTCCGTCTGGTCAGTGACACATAACCAGTTTTTGTCAAACTGAGACAAAAAAGGTCTGAAGTGACAACAATTAGCTAGCGTAGTAGGTTGTGTAACACTGGAGAAAAGAAGAGAAGATGCCAATCATTTTTCCAAGCGCTTCGACTCATTCATGCATGTGCTAAACTGAATTAAATCGTCACACTCATCTATGCATACCGTATCGTATCGTTTTATTTTCTATGGTTATTGATGTTTTGGGTTACAAAACGACAGTTCGGGTTTGCAAAAATAATCTTAGTTGACGCTGGTCTAAACGATGTTGATAACAACAATAACAACAACAAAAAGAATAAGAGGAAAGAGGAACGAATATGAGATGAGAGTGGACGGGCGGGGTGTGGTGGTCGTAACCTACAATAGAAATGCGTGACGAAGCGAATATAATAAAACGACGATTAAATTCGGTTATAACTACGATTCGGACACTTTCAACCCATCTTTTGCTGTTCAATTCTCGTATAGGTAGAGATTATCCTATTTTATTGATGGTCAAATGTCAAATAATTTATAAATGAAGCTGAAAAGGCAACAAAAATATTTATCGTGAAAGCTGTTATCGAAATTTGTTCTATAGAGAATATGATATTACTGTAAAAAGCCAAAATTTGAGAGAAACTATCAAAAGGAAATTTCAAAAAATACAATTTTTAAGATCCTGGCAACCTAATATTGAGAGTTTTTGAGAGGTTGTAACCGTAAAACCTTAAATTGGAGGGTCTGACAAGTTTAAGCTCATTCTTCTCGGGTCCTATGCAAGATATCACAAATGTGTCAGCTGATAAAATGTTATTGATATTATAATCAATAATTTATCGGTTGATCACTTTTTGTATCTTTGACAGGAACCGAGATAAATTCGCTTTTTATCAAAAGTTAGGGGATCCTTTTATAACTTGTTTAACGATTTTCAATCGAAAAATGGCAAATAAATTTTTCGTAAAACTTGAAATAGAAGGGCCTTCACACTATCAATTGTGAGCTCAATCATCTCAATTGCTATGCAACATATCAAAAATTTGTCAACTGACAAAACACTTGTGGTATTTCGATAAACAATTTATCAGGCGACCATTTTTTAATATCTTTGACAGAAACCGAGAAAAATTGGATCAACGTTAAAAGTTAGGATCCCTTCTATTACCGGTTTTACTGTTACTTTGAAAGATATTATGAATGATAATTTCAAAGAAAAATATTTATGAGAAACGTATCTTAAGAGAATCTGAAATTCAATAAATTTAATTCCCGAGCCTCTATTAAAAAATTTCATAAATGTCTATCAGGCGTGGTACGGAAGTTTATCAGTTCTAAAAATCCAAACTGTACATTGGCTTATACAACTGGGCCCTATTTGTATCATATACATATATCACGCAGAAACCTGACCCAATAATACAAACGGGTAAACGGTTGCAATCAAAAAGGCAATGTAAAAAACAATACTAATAAAAACTGATCATAGCCACCCGCGGTGAGCTTGTTTCATCTCCTACCGCAACATTAAACACAACCTCCTTCTTTCTACTATTTTTGCTGTCCTTGTGCCGGGAGAGAGAAGCGGCAAAGTGCCTCCATTATTGAAGAGGGTCACCTTCGAGATACGACGAATACGACGGGACCACTGGTCATTACACCACGAGAATAGGGAGAGAGTGTCACCTGAGAGACGCTCAGAACGCGTAAGACGCGTGTTCGGAATAAAGAAAATGAGAGACAAAGGCATGTACAGGTGGACGAATTGCGCAACACATGCCTCGATCCGTCTTAGTCACCCGAAATCCGGATTTCTTATCGGTTTTTGTTTCTTGAGATAACAATCTTGAACAATTTCGTATGAGACACATGTATTTTTTTTCTCTCCAAGTTTTTTCCTTGACTTTCTTTCTCTCAGATTCGTATCCTAATTTCTCAAATATTTGTTTCTAATTGTAATAACGGTTGGTTCCCCCACTCATTGGGATTCAGTTTCTCACATAAGACAGATTAATCCCCCATTGATCAGTTGCTTGGTCCCAGCAAAATTAATGACTGTTTGCACAGCGATCATGATACCTTCAACCCCACTCGGACCACCTGCTCGGGTCCGAGACAAAGAGACAAAGAATTAATGAAAACGAACGCGTACCCGATAAACCAGTCGACCGTATCGCGGAAATAGTCTGGCAGACGATTCAGTATTCCTTTTTGATTATGATGATGGCTATGTGAGGGCGTTTGAGCAGAAGACGTCGATGATGAGACACGTCCAGGTTCCGATGCCGACTGCTGATGGTGAGGTCCGGATGGTGTTATTGGATCGGAGCCTGGAATGGGAAAACTGAAACTTAATGAAAAAATTAACAATACGGGGAAGATCGAACTTTTAACTTTTTGATTTTCCGGTCGTTTTGAGCATTTTCAAGAGTCTAGAGCTCGGCTGTCAAGTTTCAGATCACTTTCAAAACTTTGGAGCATGCAAAACAGATCTTTGATCGGAAACTCTGCATTCACAAAATTTTCAAACAATTCCTAGTTTTTTAGCTATCTGGATAACTAAAAGACACTTGCTTTCTTCAGGTTTACAGTATCTCTCAGAAACCAGCAACTAGCTAAAAACTAGGGATTCTCTAAAAATTCTGTGAATGCAACATTTTCAATCTATATCTGTTCCACACCTTCCATAAGTTTCAAAGTCATCGACACTTACTAGCCCAGCTTCAAGCTTCTGAAAATTCAAAAAGTCAACTCAAAAATACGTTTGTGAAGTAAAATCACTTAAGTAGACAGACAACATTGATTATCGATTTCTCAAACTTTTCACTTTTCATTTTTAAGCTTTTCAATTCTCAAAGTTTCAAAACGTTCAAAATAACTTACTGGAAAAGTCTTCCGCACTGATATTGGTCGCTTTCTCCGTTGGATGTCCCATGTCAAACGATCATTCTGGAAAATTATTCAAATATTCTTTTTGAAAATTTTTTCAGAGGGAAAAATGCAAAAGATGTGCAGAACGGAGGAGAAAATGCGACATAATCTAGCCGAGGAAGAAAAAAAACATAAACAGATTCTCGAGGTGTGAGAGGACGGAAATTGAATATATATGTGGGAGGAATTGATAAACCGATGGGAGTGATGAGCATAGATGATGAGGGCGCAAGAGAGTTGGAGTAGGGAGAGTTGTAAAGTTGCTGTGTGAAGGTTCATTAAACAGTATAGAAGAGTGCTTTGTTCAGAAAAATATTAGAAAATCAGGTTTTTAAAGCAAGCTGAACATTTTTAATTTCAAAAATTAAAGATAATTTTTGAAAAAAAATTCTGAAACAACGAAAATCGATGAAACATCAATTCAAATGTGCGGAGGGCAACTCCGTGTGGTCGTTGCTGCTATAATCATATTTGAATTATGCAAATCTAGTTATGGGTGGCAAATCCGCCTCAAGTGTGGACGGGGAAACAAAGCTGAGAGAAGGAAAATGAGAAGAGCAGGCATATCCGTTCTTCTCAATTAGCGAAAAAGTGAAAACTCGGAGCGACGATTCATTTGAGTGTTCGATTGACTTATTAGGGATGGCACAGCAGGTCGAATAGGACAATGAATGAGGGATTGACCACCAAATGGCATGCTCTTCTTGTGTCTTTTTTTTTGGTTGTTGCCTAATTTTTGTTCGGGAGAGAGAGGGAGAGGAAACTAATTATGCGAGGGAATTGGATTAGGAAAGAGCTAAAGATTAGCTACTGCAACGAATAAATATATATTAGAATTAGAAAAAAAATGAACATAAACGTTGATATTAGGAAATATCTAAAAGCTGAAAAGAAGTAATAACTGTAAAACGGGGCATCCAATTGAAAATACATTTTTCAGCTTTTCAAAATTTTCATTTTTTCAAACAGGAAACGGAGAAGAATTTGATTTAGTCCGGCTTGAAGTGAATCAACCGGAAAAATTTTGAAAGAACCATATTCACTATGAATTTTGAAATTCTAAATCAGTCAAAACTGAGACCAGCTGACCTCGATGCATGGAAAATCCAAAATTCGCTTCTGAGGACCATCGATTTCAAAATATTAAGAGTTAGACGCAGTGAGATAACAAGATACAATGGGACCAAGTAAGTTTCGGATGGAGAGGGTCAGACACGAAATAACTAGGCTAGTCGGGGAGGGGAGACATTGGAACAAGCGACAGATTCTGAGGGAATGTGAAAATGGATGGAGAAGACGACACGGAGCAAAGTCTCAAACACTGGCCCATAGAAGGGAAGCAGCACAAGAAGAAGACGACGACGCGGCGACAACACCAAAAGCGGAGAAGTAGAGCATGTGGAGAGAGAAAAGTGAGGCAAGAGGGTTAGTTGAGGGACGACAGCTCTTTTAGCGTCATCTCTATTCCATGAAACCACCAACACCATCACAAACTGAAAGCCAATTGATGAATTTTCGATATGAAAAATATGTTGGGTGACAGCAACAACGATGTGGAGAGTCAGAAGAATGATCGGAGAAAAAATTGAGCCGGGGAAAGCGGTGTAGCTCAATAAAGCAATTTTCTTCAAAGAATGAATATAACTACAGTTCCGGTCAATAAGATATACAAAATCGGTTTTTTTTCAGCTAATTTTTAACATTATCAGGGGTGTCGAGCTCGGCTGTCACGTCTCCTATCACTTTGAAAATTTTTGAGGGTGTAAAGCAGACCTAGACTAGAAATTTAGCATTTGAAGAATTTTTCAATATTTTCTACTTTTTCACCTACTCGCCGATTACTGGAAGACATCCGTCTTTTTACGTTTTCAGTACAAAAACAGGCCGGAAACGAAAAAGTTCAGAAGTTAACTAGCTAAAAACTTTGAAACTTGTTTCACATTTTTATGAAACTGGAAATATAAAATACTTCTGGGAACATAAAATAAAGCGAATTTGAAAATTAATTGACAGAAATCTGCAACAACTGAGGAATTCTGAAAAATCAGAAAAATCGAAGTCAGAGATGTTTTAAAACACGAAAAATAAGTAATTCTGTAATTCAATTATCCATAACCGGAAAAACTGTATTCAATCCAGACCACTTTATTCAAAAATATGATATCCAGGTAGCTGGAAACCTTGAAGCCTAGAAATCTCAAAAATATTGAAAAATATGAACTCAATTTTAAAAAAAATGAAAAGTTAGGATATTCTGGTATTTAAAAATCAGAAAACTAAAAAAAATGAACATTATTTGAAAACCTAGTTGTTACAAATTTGGAAATTTGTACAGCGTGATATCATAAAAATCAGAAATTGAGAAAATTTTGAAATTTGAGGAATTTTCGAATTGATGATTCGAGAGTGCATTTTTAAAAAACTTTAAAAATTTTAAAAAACTTTAAAAATTTGGTAGAAAGAACTATTTGAGAACAATTAAAGCTATTCCATTCGAAAACTTATAAATAGAAAGATTGAGTCGTTCAGAAAGTATAAGACAATGTTTTAGTTTTGTTCTAAATCAGAACAGGTCAAACATACCGAATGGTTTTTTTTTTGAAAAATACACAATTTTTAAGAAGATCTTTGAAGTTGAAACGGCATACTAAATCATTAGGAGTGTGAGTAATTACTATCTATGCAATAGGTTTTCTCCACAACCAGACAGTAGTTACTCAATGACCACATGTCGGTAGTGTCATTGACTTCTATTCACAAATAGACACACACACACGAAGACGCACACAAAACACTCTCACAAAATTCACTACTCACCAGTTGTGGGAGCACGGGCACAAAACCAAGTTTCGCCAATATTGACACGTTGCTCCTCACGTCTTTTCTCTTTTTCTTTGTTGTGCCTTTTCCAAAACCCTAAATCTAAATTTTCAGTCATCGTTTTCCATGAGTGACGGATGTCTGATCGGGAATTCAGAATTTTTCTATTTTAATTTATAATTCAATTTAGACTTGGCAGTACATAATGGACAGAAAATTGAAATTCAGTTAGGGAAAATGATGGTAATGGGTTTTTGAAAAAAAAAAGGATGATGGGAAAGAAGATGAAAACAAAAACAATGTTCTGGGGAGAGAAGATCATAATGTATGCAAGTGTCATAAAAATGTTTACAAATTTTATGAGTCATAGTTTTTTTTCAGAAAAAATTTTCCTAGGAAACAAAAGTTGTAGCGGAACTCTGACTCCACAATCTTGATAAATCACTGTATGGGGGAGCCAGAACAGAAAGGCATGATTATGATGTATTAGCGTTTGGGGAGGCAAGAGGTTTTTGCTTTCATCCTGTCTTCACACTAATGACGGATGAGTCTTGAGAGCGAATGTGTGTGGGGTTGTGACGATGTGTGAAATAGGAGATGAACGATTAGTGGTTTGAAGAACGGGAGAAATAATACGAGAGGGGAACATGGAGAGCCATGTACTGTATGGTGAGACCTGAAGGACAGCTATGAGAACAAACATTATTCAGGTAGGCATACGGTTCAAGGTAATTGGGACTGACTCATTGCGAGGAACGGAAATAGGAGAGGGTAATCATGGGAACCTGCTTAGATTGCTGGAGAAATTGATAGAAGAATAGTTTTGAATTATTTAAGACAATTACTGAATGCTGTAATGCAGGAAACTGAATTTTCTCCCAGATTCTCAAACTGTTAGTTTTCGAAAAAGGGAAAATTAGAAACCTGATGTTTCAACAAAAAGTCCCAAATTACAAGTCACAGAACTGGGTGTTTTATGTACTCAATCTTAACAAACGAAAACTAGGAAAAAAGAAGATTAGAAACTGGTTTGGAAATAAGTTTTACTGTTTTCACAGATCTTAAGATTTCTGAAAATCAGAAATGCAGAAATTTAGAAATTTAGAAATTCAGAAATTCCGAAATTCAGAAATTCAGAGATTCAGAAATTCAAAAATTCAGAAATTCAGAAATTCAGAAAAAAAAATCATATTATCTCCTAGTTGCAATGGGCCGGGCCGGGCCGAGAGAGTTTTCTCGGCCCGGTCCGCCTTTCACAGTGAAAAATTTCCAATGAAAATTGGGCTTTTTTTAATTAGAGAAGAAAAACTTTACATTTTTGAGCAAACTTAACAGAGTGGAACGTAATCAAAAAATAGGTAGTTTTCGTCCAAATTTTTGAAAAAAGGAAAAAAATCAGCGTCTGCACAAAAGGCGGGCCGGCCCGTGATTTTGGAACTATGGATTATTTTTAAAGCAAAATAAATAAACTTTAAGTGAGTCAAAAATGATTATCTTGCGCATCCTAATATCAGACATCTTATAGAATTTTTATATCAGACATCTTATAGAATTTTTTTACAAGTGTCAAAATTTGTAGTAGAAAAAAGAAGACAAAATTGAGAAAAAAACGGTCATAGTTTTTTCTCACAAAACCTCCGAATTTTTTGGTAAAAATGACGAATTTTGGCAGCTGGTAAAACAGTTCTAAATTTCGAAATTTCTATTGATACTCTAAAGCCGAAGAATCGGGCAATTTCAAGATTATTGGATTTTTTGATGAAAAAAGAGCTCAAAATTGAAATTAGGGAAATTATTTATACTATTCTTTGCTCGTATTCGAATTCAATAAAAGAACTTCAGACTCTATTAATAATGTTTTGTAGTTCAAAACACATTGCTAGATAAAGCATATTACTAACCTTTCTATAGTTGGAAGTGTTAATAGCTTTTATGAGTAATTAAAATTTTTCGCGAAGAAAAATTATTTCAAAACTTTGCCTTCCAGCATCATCAACGACGCCCACTGGCAAGCTTCTTAGCGACGTCGCATATTTTATGGGAGAGCTGGACGGGGACCCTAAACATTTTTCATTCTCTAGGTTTTTTAGCTTGAGGGCACATTTCCTTTTCTTTTTGAATGAGATCGAGAAGGCAGGAAAAAACGCCTTTTGTCCTATTTCACTCAATCACGCAAATTGCTCTTCAGAGATGAAAAGAGAAGTTTTTTCTCTCTCTCTCTCTCTCTCTCTCTCTCTCTCTCTTCTTTTCATCTGGTAGAAGAATAGGAATACTGAACACGATAAGAATTTCAAATGAACTCAACCATTACATTTCAACTGAATCGTCAATCAAGTCGGAGAAAATGGAGGAGGAGAAAAAACAAGATCGAAGAAGTGAAAGTTGTAGAAGACGTAATATGTACTCTCGGATGTATTCTTTGATGTGAGTCGAGAGAAATTAGGTAGACGATTGTAAACTGTTGAGATGAAGAATGGTGACAGAAGGAGTGGAGCAACAGTTGGCGAAGGTCGGGACAACGGCTGTTTGAGATGGATGAATCAAAGAATAGGTGGACGGGGGCAAGGACGTCTTCTGAATGAATGACTGATGTTGTGGTTTTTGTTCATTTCACAATTTGTGGGGCGCCTGGTAGGGAGTCGATTAAGGCGGAGGCGAAGAAAATACGATGGCAGCAGCCCCGTCATTACGTGTGTATTGTACATAACAGTCGATTTCCGAATGATCATTGTCCCTGTTTCATTGTATATCGTAGATAATTGGTAAGTGGGAGTGAATATAAAGTAGGGAATTAGAAAACTAAATGCATAGCAAGAAAAATGTAATTTTTCTGATAGAGATTTTCAACTCTATAGCAGGAAAAAAGGAAAAGAAAAGATTTTGATTTAGAATATTTCAAAAACAATGTGCCGGTCAATAAGAAAAACAAAAACGCTTTTTTTTCATATGATATTCTGCTGTTCTGGCCATTTTCAAGAGTCTAGAGCTTGGTTCTCAGATTTTTCGATTAATTTGAAACTGTTTCTGTTTTTCAGAAATCGTGAATTTTTGAAAATCTAGAAAGTTTCAAAAAGTTTTATGAATGTTAAATTTTAGATCTAGGCCTCTTTTACATTTCTCAAAATTTTGCAAATGAAGGAAATGCCCAAAATTTCGCTGAAAAATACGTTTTATATATCTTTCTTACCGGTACTGTAATCTGAAAAATAGATATAATTGGGAAATTAAAAATAAAACTTAGACGAAAATTGAAAACAGTTCCGATGCTCAGCCTCGCTTGCACACCCTGATTTTGCAGTTGATCAAATAAATAGCGTGTTTTCGGAAACACACCCTGTCGAAAATTTTGGTGTTTTCTTGTTGCAGCTATGCCAATAAATGAGCAATGCCTTGTATGGGAAACAATATTTTCTCAAAAATTTTATGTAGATTGTTTGAGCAGTTAGCATTAAATGGGTCAAGAATGGTTGAATTTAATAATGGGGAATTTACAGAAAAATGATTGAAATTGGGTTCCGAAGAGAAATTTCACTTTTTAGAAACATTTTTATACAAAATAACTTCACTATTGTCGATCTGTCTAATGTCTAAAATCTTCAGTTTTTATATTCATATATTTTCTTTAAACCGGGGCTGAAATCTACCGTAAATGCTCTAATAGATGCTCACCCTAGACGCCCAGTTTGAGCTCAATTATCTCGGTTCTTTCAATACATATCAAAAATTTGTCAACTGACAAAATATTTGTAATTTCACAAAAAAATTTATCAATTTACAACATTTCGATATTACTCATAAGTTTCGAAATAGTTGAGTTCAAAGCGAAAGTGACGTTATAACAGATTTTACAGTGAATCAAAATCTAGGTATTGTTTTCATAATTTTGATGAAGTTTTCATCCATTCCTATATGATTAAATTATTCCGAGTTTCATTTTTAATTTTTTTCCTTTGGACCTTTTAAAAACTTGCATTCCTACTTTATTCAAAACTTCCACCAAATCTTTCTGATTATTCGTCTTCCCACAAACCTGAATCACGTCCAACTCTTCTTGTTGTCCTTCAACTAGAAAATTTCCCACAGAACTCATTTCGGAATTTCCAACATATGATCCAGGGAGATTTTCATGATTTCATTATTTTTCAGATCAAGTAAATCTTTGTGTGGGAACAAGTGTTTCCAACGTTTGACTCAAGACCCTCCTGTTGCAATCTCTTTGACTTGTTTTCAAGAGGAAATGCAATCACTTCAAGTTCGATAATTCGATATGTCAAATTATCACCGGTTCATAATCCAATTTTGTCAAATAAATCTTGTAGATGGGGGTGGGAAAAAGTTGTCATGGTTGTCACAACGCAAATTTGACATTACTATGATATCATAGCTTGATATCATGAAATTATATATGCTCGAACTGTTTCAGAAATGTCTATTTTCAGAAATCAAGCAAAGTTTCTTGTTTTTAGTTTTTAGTTCGTTCACACTTTGAGAATCTTCGTGATCACAGCCAATGCCCAAAATAAGATGTTGTGTGACTTCTTTAAAATTGTAATTGTATCTCACTTGTTATTGACAAAAGTTTGGCCCAGAGTTGAATCTATTCATAGACTTCTGGTCCATAACACAATAGAATTATCATCTGATTGAAGTTATTCAAGATATTCTATTTAGATATTTTGTGATGCACATAGAACGACTTGAATGATGAAATAAGATGAACATGAGGAGCAAAATGGACCATGCGTCATGAAAGATTCCATATATAGAAACCAATTCAAGTGTCTGTTTTTCCGCCTAACAACATTCGCAGACTTAATCTCATCTTGAAGACCCGCATCCTGTGTCGGTGTGTGCACTCATTTGATCCGTGGGTGAAATGAATGCTAATCCGGTTGCCATCTTATTTTTTTTTCAATCATAGTCCCTGGCACAAACCAAATGAGTTGTGAACACAATAGGCTCAGGATTAAAATGCTACTTATCAACTGACTTGGATTTTTTTTGAGTACTTGCAACCTGATCCTTCTAGGACTACTGTAACAAAGATGTGTCTTGTTAACAGAGTTTATTTGCTGACTTGCTTTCTATCAAGAGAGAAATACCGAGACGATTGTTTAAGGAAATTCAGATTTGAGATTCAAGGTTAATGGCAAAAGAGATAAGAGCTGTATAAAAACAGCTACGAGAGAAAAAAACGCAGCATGAGCTTCAGATTAATGAACGAAAAGAGAGAACACTTGAGAAAGAAAGCATGAGATTTTTAGAAATAGTTATCGGACATCTCGTATCGGTTGTTGGACCGTTTTCCCAATGACTGCCCAGCCAAACTGTCGAAGTATCGCTTCTCCTCAGAAATGACATCTGGGTGGAAGGATCTCTTGCCAATAGAGTCAAGGAATGGGTTGACAGCTCGTTTGCCCATCGAGTCCAAGAACGGATTTATGGCTCGTTTGGCTCTCTAAAACACGGAAATTCAGAACAGTAGAGGGAAAATTGAAACTTACGAAGTCGTGTGGAGCAGAGTGAACGTAACAGACTGCAAGAACAAGAAAAACCAAGCAGGCGACATTTTTGCTCATCATGATGGATGTCGTAGCAAGTTTACCACTGAAAAATAGAGACATATGAATCAGTAATGATAAAGGGAGAAGCTGGACAAAAGATAAGGAAATGGCATGAATGAGAGAAAAGAAATAAGAAAGTCTTAAGGATCGAAGCTCCGCCTCCTAGCCGGGCCATGGAGTAACGTCTAATCTGGCTACTCTGGGCTGTTTTATACGAAGGGAGAGTCTAGGACGACAAGTGCACCGCCCATCAGAGGTAATCTTGAAAAGTGGGCGGAGCCTAAAAGGACTAGTTGGAAAGGGCACGAGGGGAACGTGGAAATGGAGGGGAAGCTTTTGGGCTGGTGATTGAATTACTTGTGTTGTGGAATCTTGGGTAGCACGAGTTGATAAAAATGCGGGTTGAAATGATATTCTGGAAAAAAAAAATAATAAGGAGGCAAGGGTCCAAAATCCATTGTCAGGTGTCCAGAATTCATGTTTAGGTGCCTAAAACGTATTGTTAGTAATTGCGGCCTGGATAACTTTTAGGCCAGACAAAAGTTCATATTTTCAAACTGGACGTCGATTCGACCTGTGTATTTTCAATCGAAACAAGTTTTTTAAAGTTTATCGTTGTACTTTTGATACTCACATTCAGCCGATAAAGAAATGAAAAAATTCCAAAGCGAAATCTCACGTTCGCTGTGGCGCTATTTCTGACCAACGCTTTTGGACGGTTGTGAGTCAATTTTATGATCTTATGATTGAATCAAGTCGTAGATGTTTCCGGCAAGTTGTTAGGAACTAGCTTTTATTAGTCTCTCAATGTTATAGATTTTTTTTTCTGTTTATGAAGTGGAAGATGAAGCTAGAAACATATCAGTCCGGTTGATTGAGTTTGGTTTTCAAAAATACCCGGAACCATAAATGTGACAGGAGTAGTTCAAGGTGAAATTTGATTAGAAATTATTAGTTGGTTTTTATTCTAAGAAAATGAAATGCAACAAGAACATGATTTGGAACTGCAAACAAGATCATATGAAATAATGAAACTTGCAAACTGGGCATTCTTCATCATAAGTTTTTAATGAGGGATGATTCTAAGTGCATGAAAAATCCAAAAGTGATCAAGAAGTGTTCGTTAACCAATATTAGTTTATTTTTGAGCAAGTCTTAAACAAGGCTTCGTTTCTTAGCTTCCTCCTTTCTCAGAACTAGAATTTCAATGGTTTTCAGTATTTTTAAAACTTTCACGCTTTCTGAATTTTTTCTGAATCACCGTTATACTTAATTTCAACTTCATCCAAACCTTCCTATCCGATCCATTTCCAAAGATCCAAATGCCCACCCTGCATCGCATACTGAACCTATGTTTCACACGGTTCCCATAAATTCCCATACGAAACTAGATTTTTATACTTCCTCCTGTTTTGATTACCACCAAAGATCCAGTAAATAAATTCGCGAAAATTTCATTTCGTAACGTTTGGATTACTTTAGTAAAGATGCATACAAAATTTGTAGTTGTATCAGAGTGCTTTGTACCAAATAGTAGTACTACAACTATAGTAAGATATTTTGGAGTTTGGATCTTATCTGAGAATGGGAGCAAAGAACCAACTTTTTGTGTTTTGCTTCATTTTAAAGACTGTCTGGAAAGAAAAAGAAGGTCACCTTAACGAGATATGAGTAACTGCCAGTTTTCATTCATACTCAAAAATTATCTCTCTGTTCCCTAATCACATGTCTCTCACACCCCAGTATCAATACACCCCCACTCGCCCAAAAAATGAAGACATTTAATCCTTTTTGAACAACATACGAAAAGATAGAGAAAAGGTATATGAAAAGAAGAATGGAATCCGATAATGGAAGAAAATTTTCAAAGAAATATTTTTTGAAGTGATCACAAATGAAAAGGGCATATTTGTGAAGAGAATAGGTGAAACCCTTCTTTGTGTTAGCCTGATCAGAATGTTTAATGGTGAATGAAATTGGAGACGAAACATGGGGAAAATGTATGTACACCACCAATTGGGTGAAAAGAGCAACGCGGTGAGGGAATAATTCAGAATGCCATGCACCATTCCTTTTTTGAAAGGAGATTCGTTTTCATTTAGTGTTTACTTTTGAATTTTTTTTCAATTTGAAATTTGAACATTTAGGTTGCAGAGTTGACCCGACTCTTTTTGAAACTTTGGTCTAATGATTTGAAAGGTTATGAAGTTTTCATCTCTAAAAATCAGGTATGCATATAGGCAAACATGCCTTTAAAGAAGATGAAAAGTCAGCGAATTTCAAATGTCCAAGAGATTTTCAAAGTTTAAAAATATGATAATGCAGAAAATAACTTTTGGGAAGGGAAGGAATTAAAACTACAAATTTAAATTCGATCTAGCAAAAAAAAATTTAATGTGGCCGGTCTGGAGGAAAGTTTTAGCATTTTTGGTTCAAATTTCGTAAAATTTCATTGTGATACCGTTAAACCTGTAAAAGAAGCCCCCCCCCCCACACAATTTATTTTGACTTGATTTATTTCGGTTATTGTAAGAGATATCAAAATCGTGTCAACTGAAAAAAATGTTTATAATATTATGATTAACAATTTGTTAGTTGACACCGTTTTCATATCTCTGACAGGAACCGAGGAGATAAATTGTCTCGAAGTTAAAATTTAGAGGGCTTTTCTAATACAGGGTTTACGGTAAGTTTGAAAAAATAAATATTATGTAATTTCAGTTAACACGTTTTGTTCAAACTATCGTAATCCCAAGTTTACATGAATGTCAGACTTTTTCAATGAACAACAACATTTTCAGGATACCGTAAACGATATAAAATAATACCACCAAAGCGCCAATTTTGAGCAGTTACATCTCACTTCTTGTCTAAAAAATCTAAAAGTGGTCAACTGACAAAGCATTTATTATAATGCCATAAACATTTTGTCCGTTTACCACTTTTTGGTATCTTTCACAGGAGCTAAGATAGAATAATTCAAAGTTAAAAGTTGGTATTGGTTATTCTATTGAAGTGGTTTTATAAGAGTGGTATCGTATTTTACGTATTGAAATAAAATACCTCACAGCTATTCTGTTTTTTTTTCTAAAATAAATTTTTAAAAATTGGAACTGTCTGATGAGTATTGGAAAATGAGAATGTCAACTTCAAGCTAATTTGACTAAAATAACACTTTTAAAACCGCTCAACAAAAAATTTTCTTCTCTGAATTCCGAACAAAAACATTTTACCGAACCTTTCCAAAAATGATCCCGCCCACTTCATTTGCAATTAGCTATCCATATTGTTCTATTATCGTATGCAAATTACCATTCACCAGCACAATATCTGTCAACAATACTCCGTAAGGTGGCCAAAACATCCTTTTTACGAATATGATAATTTTGTTCGTATGAATTCCAATGACGTTCGTTTTGTGCCGTTTCACCTAAATTTCTCTTTTCACCAAACAAGTGGTCTAATAATCCGGAAAACATTTGAATGTACGTATTTGACTCGATCAATGGTCAATTTTTTAACATTCGACATCTTTCGTCGTTCCTGACGTCAAGGATTATCATACACTTTGTCAACAACATCTTTTTTTTTTGAAGAAACTTTCTTAACACACGTATTTGACTTATCTTGTTAACAAAAAGTCTTTATTCGCATAAAGGCTTTAAAGGTGACAAGGGATCGGACTTCTTTCCGAGATTATCCAGTTTCCTGGAAAACACACACACCAGAAAGAAAGGAGACGTGACCCTGCGCAGAATAGCATCAGAACTTGAAAATCTGTGCATTTTTTTTTCAGTTGGAGAAAAATGGTGGAAAGAGAGGTGAGAAGGGAAAAAAAGAGAAAAATACAATAGAGCTAATCCTAAGATTAAAAATGAAGACTTCTAGAGTAATATACAAAAAGGTTAAATGAAAATAGATGAGGTGTTACTTCCCAATGCTAATCCCATTGAATATTCTGAGAAAATCTAATAGATAACATTTACAGCTTGAGCGGCGGCTTAACGACGTGCACCTCCTTTGGCCCATGGTTTCCATCCACTTGGTGCTTCTCCACCACCGCCACCGCCCCGGACAGCCTGAAAAAAGGGAAAATGAAAATGTTGAAGGGGACGCTTGGAAAAATTATTTTGAGGTCTCCGTTCTAACGTCACAGCTTCTGTGGGTTTCCATGTTTCCCAAGAGTCAACTACTGGTACCGTATCAAAGAAAACTTCAGAAGAGATTGAGAAGATAAGAGGTGTCGTAAACACTCTAATTTTAATAATCCTTCTACCTTTCAACTTTCAGCCAACTCATTCTAGTTTCTAGGAAGTTGGCTAAAATTGTTCAACGCACAAAATACAACCCTAGTCAATAAGATATACAAAAACATATTTTTTAGTTGATTTTCGGCCATATTGAACATTTTCACGAGTCTGGAGCTCAGCTAACAAGTTGACGATCCCGTTGAAAACTTTAGAGGGTGTAAAACAGACATATATCAAAAACTTCCCATGCACAGAATTTTTCGAAGATTCCTAGTTTTTCAGCTATTTGCCGATTTCTGAAAGAAGCTACTTTTCGGTTCGTTTTTGTACTGAAAACGTGAAAAGAGGGGTGTCTATCAGAAATCGAAAAACAGCTAAAAATTAGACATTATCGAAAAATGCTGTAAAGGCAAAAAGTTCAGTCAAAATCTGTTTCACACCTTTCAAATATTTCAAAATGACCGGAGACTTGACAGCCTAGCTCGAGACTCCTGGTAATGGTCATTACGGTCGAAAATCAATTGAAAAAGTATGTTTTTGATACTTACTTGGCCGGTACTTCAAGTTTGATGTTATGATGAGCATTTTGTCAATTGACCACTTTCTCATATCTTTCACAGGAAACAAGATAAACATGCCCGAAGTTAACGGTTTAGGGGCAATTCTATCTGTTTTTCATAAACTTTTCAAAGATTCAAGTTACAATGTCCGTCAGATATGGTTTACAAAAAATAATCTGGTAAATCGTTTAAAATTTTTTTACATATTTTTATGATCTTGAATTTTTCGAAATTCCCTTTATTAGTTACTCTTCCAGACAATTTATCATTCAGATACCCTGAATACCGTACCCCTCCAAGTTTTCCTCTAGCAGCTCTCATTCCAACATCATCTCCTGGATGTGGTCCCGATCCTCCCTCCCCTCCAAACGCTGGCGAATTTCCTCCTCCACCAATATTCGCAAACGGATTGTTGGAGGCTCCACCACTCGAAGGAACCGGAGATTTAGCAGGTGCATTAGCCGCCGGAGTTGGGGATGACATTTCGTTGAGACGTCTGAAAATCAAAATTGCAATTATTGGTTCCCATGGAGACGGGCGCCTGAATTTCTCTGGTTTTTTTTTACGAGACGTACTGATTCTTCAAAGTTGGACGATTTTCCGAATTCGAGTTCGAGCGAAGACCACCGGATCCATTGTTCTCGCCGTTTCCTTTTCTGTAAAATAATTCAGACGAATTACAAAGAGCCTCCGTCAGAATTTTGAATACCTTCCTCCAGATGATGCTCTTGGCTCACGAGGTGGTGACGGAATGCGAGCGCCGGTTTCCTCTTCAGACTCATCAGCAATTGGGGAGAACCTGCAAACGAGGAACCGAATGTCAGAATCCCTAAAGATAGTCTCACGTCATTCTTCTTGGAGCATTAGCATTTGATTTTCCTGCGGGTGGAATTGGTGGTGATCTTCAAATGTTCATTACTAGTACAGGGGTTTCTTTTCTAGATAATTCTATATATTTCTATCACTAACCTTAATCCGGACGGATCAAATTCCTCGTTATCAGATTGCGGCTTCCGTTGATGAGCCGGCGCCCCGGGAGAGTTCTGATTAGTTCTTGGCATTGGCGGAATGCCATCTTGTGGCTTTGGCTCTGGCACAATTGGCTTCGGATTACAAGAGAAATTCAACGGGACCATCGGAACAGGCTCAGGAACGTCACCAAGTGGAGCAACAGAACGGGCTCCTGGGCTGTCAGGAATATCGATTGGGATTTCAGCAGCGACATCTTCCTCAATTGGATCAGCGGTAGCTGGGATGAACATCTTCTTTGGTTTCTTAACTGCCTTCTTGCGTTTCATGACTGGAGCGTTAACAGGAACTGGAAGGAATGCAGGCAGCTCGTCGATTTGATCGGTCATTGTGGCAACATCCTTAGTAGCTGGTTTCTCAGGCAACACGTGGATAATTTCCTTGGTGTGGAATCCGTAAACAGATTCGTGCTTTTCTGGCACTGTGATGTAAACTAAAAATATTTTTTAAATAATAAAAAAAATTATCGTAAAATGATCACCTGGTTCTGGTTGGATAGCTGGAGGTGGAAGAATAACAGCATCCGATTTCTCGACATCATAGTCTACTTTTTTGCTTGGCAATGGTAGAGGGACTGGTGCGACGATTGGACGATTTGGAAGAATTGGATCGCGTAGGAGGCAGAAAAGAGATATAATTTATGAGGGATGTTCGGAAGGGAACTTCGCATTTCGAAAATTCAAAAAAATCCGACCGTAATTTAAAACTAACTTTTTTTGCAATTAGAAAATCCTGGAGTTCGAAAATCAATTTGAAATTTTTTTTAAAAAATCAATGCGAGTTCTCTTTTTTTCCCCGTTTTTGATTAGAAACTTCGAAAGTATTCAAAATCTGATCAATTCTGAATTCCGACTTTTTCCAAATTTCGAAATTCCGAAAATGTCATCCCAAAAATCCCTGATATTACAGTACCAATTCAGTAAGATATACATAATTGTATTTTCCAGTTAATCATCGGTCGTTTTGATCATTTTCAAGAGGCTTTTTGAAAGACACCAATTTTTTCACGATGAACTACAAAACAGGTCAAATGGAGGAGTCTTTCAGAAACCAGCAAATATCTAAAAAAAACTGGGGGTTTTCAAAAAATTCTGTTAATGTAAAGTTAGCAACCTAGATACTTTTTTACTATCTCCAAAACTTTCACCATCCTGAAAATGATCAAAATGATCAAAAATTGAATGAAAAATACGGGATTTGAATCTTATTGACGGGGGAAGTATGCATATGCTTTATATTAACATGCTTAATCAGCCAGGAATTTTGTTCAAAGGTTATTGGAGATTATAGCTCAAACAATACTTTCCGTGACCTCAAATTGATCTAAAATCGTAGAAGATTCATACCCAATAACCCAAACTCACACTTGATCTTTCTTTCTTGGCGAACAATACATACACGCATGCATACAGCAATGGCACAAACAGCAGAACAAGAAAATTCCAAACATGATTCCAATCAAGGCCAACATTGCTCTCCAATCCACGCACATTCCAAAAATCTTCCATTGATACTTCAAACATCCCGATGGTTGAGAGCACGAGCCTTCCGAAGGTTTAGTCGTTGTTGCAGGTGTTGTTGCTACTCCATTATTGTTGTTAGGACACTGGCACGTAGTTGGATTTGTTGCCAATGTTGTAACAGTTCCAGAACCGGAACCACCTCCTGATCCTCCCAAACCTTTAGTAGTGACCGTAGTCCCTGTTACAGCTGTTGATCCACCGGTTTGTGGAGTGGTGATTGGAGACGTTCCACCTGTTGCTGGCGATGACGAAGCGACGGGGGGTTGCGTGGCTGTTGACGTGGTTGAGATGTTAGAAGTCACAGCGGCTGTCGTAATTTCTGTTGGTGTGGTAAGTCCGGTCGCCGTGGAGGATCCTGTAGTCGAGGAGAATAGAGAGGTCGTCGAAGTCAATCCTGTCGTTGATGACAAACTGGTAGTGCTGGAGAACATTGTGGTGGTTGATGAGCAATTTGCCATGATGCTACAGTAGTCGTTTTTTTCCAGCGCTGTAAAATTACTGATTGTTGTATATTCAACGTTTTGTATTTTATTCTTACGGCGATCACACAAGATATTGGCATCAATTGAGCAAGAATCAAAGACGAGAGCATCAGATGAGGATTTGATGTAAGTGCACGTAGTGGAAGTTGTTGGCGTCTGAAGTTTATAAAAAATTAAAGTTTTGTGGTAATTACGAGTTTGAAAATTTTCCAATTGTAACAATTTTGGAATTCCGGAATATTTAAATTTTAATATTTTTGGAATTTCCATTTTTTATGAAAAATTCGTGAGAGATTGATCAACAAATTGTCAAAACATTAATAAAAATATAAAAGTAACTCCGCTCGAGACCCGCAAGAAAAATTTCTTTGGTATATTTTATTCCAAGAAGCTCTAATATCAAAAAAAAATTCGGAAATATTTTGAGTCAGAATTTTCAGAATCCGAATTTTTGTTCCGACCATTCCTGGCCCGCAGGAAGTTTATTTTAGTTTAATCCTCCACAAAAATTTCGCTCCCGGGCACTCTTGTGTGACTTCTCCTCACATTTTTAATCAATCCAGTCGTGTTCGCAATCACACCATAGTACCCATTATCCTGGCACAACGCTCCAACAACCGGAATTTCCATATTTCCAGCCACAATTCCAGTCAAGACCGGCAAACTCGATTCCTTCTGACCGAATGCAATGATCGAAGCGTAGTTGTCTGCAGACGGATGTCCAAGATGTCCTCCAACAGCCACACATGAATCATCAGCTTCTCCCCAAGTGGATCCAGTTCTGGCTTGAATTTGCCAGCAGTGATCCTGATCACTTCCAGCGATAGTTATTCCATCGCATGGGCAAGTTGCCCCGGCCGCTGGAAATTAGATATTCGGTCTCGAGGAACAGCTGTTCTTGAAATTGGTTATAGATTTTGTCAGAAAGGCTGAAAGTTTTAAAGGTATCAAAAGTCTAGACAGGTTTTTCTACACTTGCAAAAACCGAGTAGATGTGTGATCGGAATTTTCAATTTGTTCACAATTTCCTAGAATTAAAGTCTACAGCATTTTCCGTCTTTCTGGAGGACACCGATTGTCTGTGGTGACTAAAAATTATCATTACTGTTCAGAGAATAACTGTTAGTTGGTTTTTATGAATTCTTAAAATATTTCATGTACATTAATCAAAAAAGAGACAAAACGAATCAACCCAAGTCATGAATAAGTTCACTCTCACACTTAAACTCATGAATTTTTAAAAGAATTTCGAGACTCTTTGGGAACGGAAGTATCACACATTTTCATTCACACGAGGTCTCTTCACAAATTTTTCTTGACTCAGTTTTTCTCAATTTTCATCAAAACAACTAACGCTTTCAAATCACAGAGTTAGCGGTCGACCAAAAATCGGGTGAGTAGCTGCTGCATATTAAAACACGGGCAGTCAAAGTGGTTTTCCACCCTCACTCCACCCTCAATCCTAAATGAGCCACCTGACTTTAATATTTTTTTTTCTTTGCCTATATTCTCTTTCTTTTTTTCTGGCTTGGAAATTTTTCTCTTTCTGAAGCCGGCGTTTTTTGATTGAATACTACCATGTGAGACAAAAACCGATTTTTCAATATTTCCGAGAAACGAGAAGTCTTCTTCTTCTCACGTCGTTTGTAATCATTTATATTGGATTTATTTCTAAATTGAACAATAATTCAATTTCAAAGAAAATTTTTTTTCGATCACTACCTTACCCTATGTTTCCCTCTAGATTAATTGAAAAATTTGACTCGTGGTACCCCATTACTTTTGATTAGTCTGATTCGGCTCAAAATCTCCGAAACAATCACACTATTATGGAAAAATTGGAAAGTCGGGAATTTAATCACTTTTTATTGTTTCTACTCACTCTTTCTCTTTTTGAAACTGGTCAATGTACTCGGAACTTTGAAAGATTACGGTATCTAGCCAAGATGAACAGGTGATTTTCTTTTCTTACCATTTGTCAGATTTTTTTTTTCATATTCTCGTTGCTAGTAAGAACTGTGGCGGTATTACTGATTATCAGAAAGCAAAAATAACAAAAAAATCATCATCCCGCCTACTTCAAGTTACCTCGTGGGAAACTGAAAGGCGTGCAAACCAGACGTTCTTTTAGTTTCCCACGGTACACATGTATTTACATATGTTTCTGTGGATTTTTTTATATGCCTTTTGGCCGAAAATAGATAAGTTGATCAACTTTTTAGCCAAAAATTGACTACAAAACTACGCTTTTGGATTCGTGTTTGAGAAATCTTCAGGCTACAACTCTGGAGTTTTTGAGAGTTTTTGAGAGCACTAGCGGCCAATAAAATATACAAAAACGTGATTTTCAGTTAGATTTTCGATCAGTTTGAGCTTTTTCATCTCTGAAGCTGTCTGGAGCTCGACAATCAAATTTCCGATTTATTAAAAAATTTCCAAAGGTGGGAAACAGACATAGACTGAAAACTTCATTCACAGATATTTCCGAAATTTCTTAGTTTTTCAGCTTATTGCCAATTTCTGTAATACACCTATTTTTCACGTTTCCAATCAGTACAAAAATGGGCAAAAAAGAGTGTAGTTCAGAATTGGGCAAATATCTGAAAAACTATGAGTTTTCAAAAAATTTCTGTGAATTTATGTATGCCTTCCAAAATTTCAAATGATAAGACACTTGAGAGGTGAACTCTAGGCTCCGGAAAGAAGCAAAACATCAACTGTAAAATATGTTTTTCGCATATCTTATTAATCGGTACTGTTACTTCTTTCCGACAAACTGTTTTGTGGCAACCCGACTGGTTTTCATGACAATTACAAATCGCTACTACTAGAAACCAATATTCTATGACCGACGTCATTAGTCAGACAAATTGTGTGCCTCCGTTTTGCCCAAATTGAATTTTATTTTCTTTGACGCTCTCTAAACGAGAGCTCAAGTGAAGCTGGGTAGGTATGTGTTCGGGACGGGGGGTTTGGACAGGTGTCTATTGGAAAACGGAGGGAGAAAAAGTTTTTGGGCGAAACCAGGCAATATTGATCCATTCTCAATTTTTATAGGCAAGATTTTGAAATGGAATAGCCGATCTTTTTTAACTGTAAAATATGAAGCAGAAAACTTGGTTCGGTAGTTTTACCATATTTTTAATAATTTCAATAAAAATTCACTTTTTAAAATTTGAAGTTTCTACAGACTTTTTACCATACCAATTTTCAAGCTATTCCTCATCGATGACTACAACAGTGCATTTATTTTACAAAAGAACCTCAACACCTGTGAATCCAGATTTCGATGAAATTTTCAAGGTACGTTATGAGTATTCTATTTAGACACCTCAAAAATTTAGAAAAAAAAACTTTCGACACTTCGAAACCAGTCATTTCGAAAATGGTCATTCGAAACCGTGGTAATAAAGGCTAATGGATAAATTTCAAACTACAAAACAAATTTTTAAAGGCTTAAAATATACTTTTTCTTATATCTAATGTTGTCGAAACGTTTTTTTTCTCGACTTTTTCGATTCTCAAAATGTGTTCTATACAAAAAAAACATATTTGCAAAACCTCAAATTGCTTTTTAAGTCAGAGATTCATCCATTTGCCTGTATGACTGGTTTCGAAGTGTTGCAGTTTCGAAATAACACGAAACCACATTTAATGCTATGAAAAGCTTCCTAGAAGTTAAGAGAATCGTCTTTGACAGTTACCGTTTTTGCCCTGAAAATGCGATTTTTTGCACGGAAACTGATATAACTGGACTGAATCTAGCGAACGGATTTTAAAATTTTCAAAGGTGTTTGCAAAGGCTATTCATAACCTATCCTGAAGTTTTCGACAAAATTCGTGTTTAGTTTTTTTGTTTAGGTTCCCTTTTCAAATCAAAATTTCAGTTTTTTAAAAATCGATTTCACAATTCCCTCTAAACCCACCTTCATCTCTCGGTTTCAAGACACATACTCCTAAATACGACTCCATGTCTCTACTCTCACTTTTTATCTTTTATTTACTAAGCCCCGCCCATTTTTCTCAGTGTTTCGCGCTTTTACCTAAATCTCTATTTTCCAATCAGACAAAGCAAGCACCCGCTGCTTCCACCTTTCACTTTCCAGTTTTTGTTTCTAAAAGACAATTTGTCTTAACTCTTGAAAATCGTGGATTAAGGTAGGTGAGTCTTGTGACTGAGGATCTGGTGAATCAGCGACTACAATTTCGTAGGGTGAAATACAAAATTCAAAAGTCAGAAACTTGTGGTTGAGGGCTATCTAGTAAACAGCCAAATGGATTATCTTGAAATTGTCTGATTCATTTTTTTTCTGGGTAGATAGATAGATAACTAGACTAGATATAAACGCTCAAAAAGCAAAATTCCACTCTAATGGAAGGCGAGAAGGCTGATTAAGTGAGGCTCATTTTAAACACTTATATGCCTCTTTAAATTAAAAATTTCAAACCGCTGTGCAAATGAAATTCTCTGTAGTTCATTGATAACTCAATTATCCTTTCATCGGCTCTGAAAATACTAAAAACTAACCTCGAAATGCAAGAAGAAACAAGAGAAGCATTGAAATGCGCATCCTGTAGGCTCACTTTCGATGTTGAATGAGGGAATTCGAGTGGTGGCCCGCGCGGGTATCCTAGGGACACTAAGCGACGGTTGACATTTTTATGGCAATACACCCCATGACTTTTTCTGCCCATGTTGAAGCCGAATCGAAAAAAAACGAAAAAAAGAAACAAAAAAAACAAAGCTAAAAATCGCTATGGCAATCCCTTTTCCGAGAGAGCCATGAGATTTTGGGCTTCAAACGTGTTTTTTTTGTTGAAAAAATCGATTGGGAATACAGTGCGTTCGAAAATTCCGGATTTTCGGAATATTCTAATATTGAAAATTTAAGAATTTTGGAAAATTTGGATTTAAAAAATTGAATTTTCGAAATCGAAAAAATTATTTGAATAATTCCGTTTAAGTCCAACACGTTTCGCGTGTTCCTGCCACATATCGTAGTCTAAAAATATCGTGACGATATTTTGGGTGGTGAGCCCCTAATCGTACAAATGAGCAAGAGAGCATTAAATCTTAGGTTGGAAGGAAAGTAACTGTCCATTTTTTAATTCGTGAATAACACAAAAACAAGAATTACCCAAGATTGGCAGTATGCACCGTCGTGGTCCACGACATGCTGACAACATTCAGGTAACTTTTTGATACCATCCTTCTAAAAGCCAGCTGGCCGCGAATCAAAGTATTCCCATAGTGCCGTTTTTACCTCATCGACAGTATAAAATTATTTTCCCACCGGATGACGTTGCATATCTCCGAATAGTCAATAATAAAAGGGTCAAGTCTGGAGTTTGAGCAACGTGGACAGCCATCCATCCAAAGTGGCTTAGGACTGAATTGACTTTCCTTAAGTAAAGCGAGATCCTATGTTCTACGGAAAGTCAAGTAAGACCTGGGTCGCTTTAGTTGGACGGTTTTTCTTTACGCGCTTTTAAACTCCTGGTTTGGCCCTTTTATTATCGCTTAATAAGAGATATGCAACGTCATCTGGAGTGAAATAGTTCAACACTGAAGATGAGATAAAATCTGGACTAAAAAATACTCTGAGTCGCGGCCAGCTGGCTTTTGGAGGGATGGTATCCACGACGGTGCATACTGTGAACCCTGGATAATTCTTGTTTTTATGTTGTTCACGAATGAAAAAATGGACAGTTACTTTCCTTCCAACCTAATATATAGTATCAGATGAGAACAACAGTGAGCCGTTCAATTTTAACTAATTAATTAAAAAATAAAGAGTTTTCGTTTGACTCCCGAACGGAGCATAATCTTCTTTCGAGTTGTCATCGTGGTCCCGTCCGTGTCCATCCTTGTCTTGTCGTTGGTTTCTCCAGCTTATATAGCGACGATTGATCAACTCGTAAGATAAGATGATAAGCCACCGATGTGGTTGACAGGTTGAATAATACCAAATGTATAAATTGCTAAAAGTTGAGCTAGAAATGGTACACTGATTCCTTTTGCAACAAAAAAGCTTTCATTTTGAAAAATGTTCAGAAATATTCCGATCAGGATTTTGTTTCAAAAAAAGTTTTGAAATGTTCCGGAATTGAGAATTTTATTTCAAAAATGAATAGAACTTTCGGGATTTTCGGAATTCCTATATCAGTTCCCAACGTAGGCCTTATATCTAAATTTGCAAGATAAGAACGTCCGGTTTGCAAAAGTTCCGAGATCTGCCTATCTTTCAGCAAAAACTGCGGAAGGGCGCCTAAGGGCGACCATTCTTGGTCATTCTTCGTCCTTCGAAGAGCAATCTTTTTAAACTTCTACCTTTCAACTAATATTCCTCAGTTTGCCACTTGAGTCTTCATTTCATTTCATTCCCATCTCAAAATCAAAATCCGTTCTCTGTACTCATTTCCTTTTATTTATCCCTCAAAAATTCTAGTTTCACGATAGTGTCATGTGTTTGCTATTACAAATAATCGCGTCGTCATGTTTTCTTATAGTATTCGTGATATCTGATCATAATCTTTGTACAATTTTTCATAGTATTCTGATTTTATATTTCTTTTTTTTTTCGAAAACTATTTCTTTCCTCCTCTTTCCTGCTCCCCCGCCCCTTCAACTCTGATTCTCGTGTTTTGTTTTCGTTTTTTTTCTCTTTCTTTTCATAACAATTATCACAATTTGCCAATCACTTTTTTCAGGTGTGCTCTTTTTTTTCTCAATGCTGATTTGAGATGGGTGCGGGAGCAGGTGGCTTGAGCTTACGGGGAGCGCGTCTATCGCCAGAGGTTTGATTTTCGTATTAGGTAAACTTCATATAATGGAGAAATTTTTAGGAGCGCGCGAACAGCTCAAAATCACGAGCTATTGATCGAGCACTGTCAAAGGATCACACAGATGACTTGAACCGGTTCAAAATTCTCTTATTGGGGACAGCGGAAAGCGGGAAGAGCACGATTTTTCGGCAGATGAGGTATAATAATCACAAAAAGAGTTTAAGAGACACATGGGAAATCAACTACTGTTTTTCCAAACTTTTATAACCAACTAATTCCAGAGTTCTCCATCTCGACGGCTATGCCAAAGAAGATGCTCTTGAGTATCTCTCAATCATCCACTCAAACTGCATGGAGGCACTCACACAACTTGTGGAGGCGTGTTCGGCTTTCGGAATTTTACATGACATCACTGTTCAGGTTTTTCACATTTCGTCCTTTTCAGCTAACATTTCATAAATATTCAGGAGGATGTCGATAGATTTGAAGGCTTCAAAAAGAAGCTTCGCGATCCCGAAGGGCTCGTCATCCCAGTTGTCATTGGAAGATGTATGGATCGTGTTTGGCAAAGCTCCAGCATGCAAATGTGTTATGAGACTCGCCGCTTCAGATTTGCTCTTTTGGATAGCGCAAAATAGTGAGCATTTAGAAACTAATTGGGATCAGAACTTTCATTTTCAGCTTCATGGACAACATTGTCCGTCTCACCGAGGACAACTACGTCCCAACTATTCAGGATATTGTTCACTGCCGTATTTCAACCACCGGAATCAACGAAATAGCGTTCAATCATAAGAAAATGGATTTCAAGTTCGTTTTTGGTCATAACTGAGAAATATGTATAAGAGAAACATTTCAGAATGGTGGATGTTGGAGGACAACGAAGTGAGCGTCGCAAATGGATTCACTGCTTTGACAACGTTGATATGATTCTCTTCATTGTCTCGATGAGCGACTACGATCAATTGGACCCAGAGGATCACAAATACGTGAGTCGCGCAGTGAAATAGGCTTAGGTTAGGGTTGTTCGGAACGATACTCGGAAAACCGAAAATTCCGACAAGAGTGAATTTGAAAAAAAATGCTTTTTTTTTCGGAATCACATTCCGATCGCAATTTTTCCTGAACTTTTTTCGGAATCAGAATTTATATGTCGAAAGCGCACGCGAGTTGATATTACTTTTTTCGATTTTTTTGTGGTTGAAAATGGAACCAAAATTCTGAAATTCCGAAGCTCTCAGGACGGAATTTTTGACATTCCGGAAATTTCCAAAAATTCCAGTTCAGTACGTCACTGAAATATGCCCACTACAATTTCATTTTCCAGAATCGCATGAAACAAAGCTACGAGATTTTTAAAACCATCGTTCACTGTGACTTGTTCCGTCATGCATCCATCGTCTTGTTTCTCAACAAGTATGATGTATTTGTTGAGAAGCTAAAAACATCTCCGCTTCGAAGAAGCTTCAAAAGTTACGATGGTGAGTTTTTATTGGAAATAATGAAAATCACATGTTTTTTTTCAGTTAATTTTGAAGATTTACAGAAATCTGAAGCTCGGATGTCAAGTTTCCGATCTGTTTGAAAATTTTGGAGTATGTAAAAGAGACCTAGATTGAAAACTTTAAATTCGTATAATTTTTTTAATTTTCCTATTTTCAGCTACGTGCCGTTTTCTGAAAGAGAGCTTTTTCAGCCCGTTTTCAGTACAAAACATGTCTAAGGCGTGTATCAAAAATTGGGAAATAGCTGAAAAACTTGAAATTGTGAAGAAATTTTGTGAAGGTAAAGTCCTCAATCTAGGTCTATTTATCACCCTCCATAATTTTCGAAGTGGTCGAAAACTTGACAGCCTGGCTTAAAATCCTAGACTTAAAATGCCCAAAAATCAACTGTAAAACATGATTTTGTGTATCTCGTTTACCTGTATTGGATATAATATAAATTTTAAGGTGATAACTCGGAGGAGAGTGCTCGCGATTTTATAAAAAAGTTGTTTCGTCGATGCATCACGGATCGCCACAAGTTTTTTGTTTTTGAGACGACTGCAACGGATACTGGAAATATTGATTTGGTGAGAACTTAGAAAGATCGCTCAAAATCAGAACCCAATTTCCAGGTCTTCGGCTCCGCGGTCGCTCACATTGTCAACGAGAATCTCCGCTCTGCAGGATTGCACGAGTGATTATGCCTTCTAAGATGCTCTCGCATTTCTAAAAAAGATAATCTCATCGCTTTGAGTTAAAACTCATCTCATCTATTTGTCATATTCTATCCCTTTCCCCTGTGGTCCATTATGTGTCTGTCATCAATCTTGTTCTATCGAATTAGTTCTTCTCCTTCACTGTTTTCGTTCGCAAACTTTATTTTGTAATTTTATTGTTTCAAAAAGAGGCACTTCCGGGCCTTCTCAAAGAAACAGACAATGTCATCTCTTTCGTACAATGTATGAAAAACCAAAAAAATCCATCTCTCCCCGTAGCTTCATCCCTGCTAGTCTTCTCCCGGTTTTCTTTTTTTCTGGCCGTATAATTATTTTGTCCATCACGAGCTCCTTCTGTTCCCGTTTTCTCCCACAAACAAAAAGAACATCCGTGAGCTGTTCCGTTTGTACTGAATAAATTTGCACTTTCTTTTGTCCCTTGTCAAAATTTTCAAGAAACTACTTGAATTATACGTTTATAACGGATCTTGTCACAAGGTGACAATGGGAAGAGTATGCGACTAGTTTCTAGAAAAGATCCGGAATAAGAAAAGTAAACCTTGCATGGTAAATTTCATTCTTAATTTTTTTCAGCTAAAAAGTTTTTTTCAAGGGAAGTATGACTGTAATTTTCAAGAAAAGCATGACTGTATGAGCATATGCTAATGATCAGGCTTGTTTCGATGTATGAATGAGCAGGAAAAAATCATACTTTATCGTTCAAAGAGCGAACAAGGCAAAAAAGGTTATCTGTCTGGCGCTTCACAACTATAATTCTCACAGGATTTAGCGAAAGTTTATGTTTTAAAGCAGTATATTTTCCCAAATTCGCAGGAAATTTTCAGAACTATACGGGCTAATAATAACCTTTGATGCAATAAACTTTTGAAAATAATTGATAACGTGAACACTCCTGAAGAAGGGCTTCTCCCTTACCGTTAGTTTTGAGCCAATTTTTCTCAATTTCTGTACAAGATATCAAAGAGTAGTCATATAGTAAAATGTTTTTCTTATATTCAGTAACTAAGATTAATTGACATGAAGTTGACACTGACTGCGTCATTCTATCAAATTAGTTACAGTACCTTATATGAACAATTTTCCTAGGAAACGCTTTTTCTAGAGAACGGATCCAAAGCAAGCTCCAGCTCTACCAGAGTTTCTTTCAATCTCAATATGTTTCGACCGACTAAACTAGACATGATAACTCAGCGAGTTCTATACAATATAGCAAATTGTATCTTGTTCATGATTAAGACACTGACCGCAAAACCGGCAAAGCCCTTTATGGTTTGTTTACTTTGCTCATAGGCCACAAAAAGTTTTGAAAAAATTATCATCTTGTAGTACTCACTGTTTTATCATATCTCTAGGGGTATAATGATTTTTATAAGATGTTTATGTATTCTATCATTTGTCCAATTATTAAAATTTTTGAGTTTCCAATAATTTCTGTTTTGTCTGTGACGATGGTGAGAGAAACTAATTGCTTTTAAGAAAACACTAAAATTCATAGTCCATGCAAGAAATCCAATATCGATAAACCCTTCCTATATTTTATAGAGATACACATAAAAATTCCGCACCTTCGTTCTTTTAGCCAAATTGGTGAGTCCTTGTTATTGAAGATTTATGGCCCGTACCAGTATGCCATTTTTCGTTTAGGGTCATCTAGACATTTTATCTTCTAAATGGAATATATAAAAAGCTCACGTCATTGTATTCAGTGTTTTTTAAGAGATCCGGGCTAAAACCGGAAAAAAGAAACGAAGAGTTCCGTCCGTACCCAACAATTTCATTTTATAACAGGACTCACTGACGAAATAATTGGGCTTGCTTTGAGAAAGGGACTCGTCTTGTTCCGGAAAAAAATGGACGGACCGCTCTCAAGAAAAAAATACTTCTTTTTTGGCTCCTCTCCTCTCGAGTTTTCATTTCTCTCTTCCTCTTCACCGTAACGTAAAGTCGCACGTTTTGTTGGGGCTCGGTGGTTTGGGTGAAGGCGGATATCGAGGCGTTAGAAGCTTGATTTATTGTCGTGAAGTCCGTTAAGTGTCAGATTTAGAGAAATGAATCCGGACTCTCTCTTCGCAGAATGAATGACGGGGGAAAGGTATACTGTAATTGAATGGTGGGGAGGAGGTAGGCGGCGCATCTTTTTTTGCAGCATTGGTACCGCCTTTTTTTTCTTATAAGGAGCTCTATTCTTTCAAGATCCTCTTCCACATTGTTTATCCGAATCAACTCCTCTCAAGCTTCAGGTTCCAGCTGATTGGGATACGCCTAAAAGTTCAGGTTAGTTCTTTTCATGAAGGCATAAGAAATGAATGAAGGTTGAGTTATTGAGGGTTTCAAGCAATATGGTTTTAGAATTAGAGTCAAAATCAGTTTAGAATTTTTTGCTTTCCCTTAAGCGATAATTTGTTGTCAAGAATGACCATCTTCAGGTAATAATTTGATAAATATGGAATTAAAAATTTTCATATGTTTTCAGAGAGATATAAGACCTCAATCTCACCTTTCAACGGATAGGCCGACGCTTTAACTTGAATTGTCTGAATTTCTCATGGAAGTATTAAACGTTCCAAAGCTGATAATGAGAATAATTATAATATTTTGGGATATGTTTTCTTGATTTTTATTTTGGATAGCCAGTAGAGAACCATTCTCTTCAAGGCCAATTAAACAATAGTTTCCTATGCAGAAAAATAGTCTCACTGTAAGCTGCTCTAATAGAAGCACACCCAGTACGTGCACTTTGAGCATAATTATCTCGATTCCCATGGGTGATATCAAGAATTTGTCAACGTTGGTGATATTATGTAAATATTTGTAAGTTAACATTTGGTATTTTTTGGAGGAATCGATTTTTTTTTCACGCAGTTACGGCAATCAAATAAGGCTCCGAGCAATTGCAGTTAATATAAAACATAATTAAGAAGGTACGAAAATTTTGGGGTCATTGAGGTACAAAGCGACTAAGGGTTACAAAATCCATAATTCGGAAGTGCAAAATATTTGAAAAAGGCGAATTTTGCACACCCAAACTACGGTTTTAGTACCCTAAGCTTTGTTCCCCGTAGTATAAACTTTAAGGGTGGAAAAAGCTGGGTTTTCAATACAGGTATAGCGGAAGTACGGCCAGTACAAAACTTTAATAAAATTAAAGGAAAAACCGGAATGCTCAAATAACTGTTGTGTTGTGAAGTGATTTGTGAAACTTGGATGAAAGATAATCTTAAAATTCCTGATTTTTAATTTTCCTTGTCATTTTCTTCATAATCCTACTTCTTTTCACTATATTTATCTCTCTCTCTCTCTCTCCAATTCTCTCTATTTGACCTTTGTGTGATCTACTCAACAAATTCATCAACTCTTCAGTCTATTCATAATCGGTCTATCCCATTCAAATCCTCACATTCTGCATTCAGTTTGTCCCAAAAATTTTCGGTTCAGATGAAAGTGGGAACGAAAAAGAGCGCCAGTGCTACGACGCGGTGAAGCGTTACAGAACTTTTCAAGTTGATGGAATGTTTCAATATGAGTGAACGAGGTGGTCCCAAAACTCGTCCTCCTCAATTCGCCCTTCTTCGACTCTTCTTCTTCTTCTTTTTCTATTCTAGCCCTTCTTTTTTTCACTGTGCGCGTCTCAAAAAGAATGTGAAAAGAGAGGCACACACACTCCCACAACTCTACCGCCTTTTGACTGAGTGACAAGTCAAGAGTAGCCATCTCAGTAGTAGTCCTTTCCCCACCCATCCATCCACCGGACTCCTCCCTGTCCAGACGTTTTGTTCCTTCTCTCCCTTCCCTTCGTTGGCGTCTCATTTTTTCCATTCTTCTTCCCTTTTCGGTTTTTGGGACATGGTGGTGGTGGTGCTGGTGGTACTGGTCTGTCGTGTCGGTTGAAAATGTATCTTCGGAATGGCCATTCCATGTAGGCATTCCAAGCAAGCCATTTATCAGAGGACGTTAAAATGTGTTTCAATGCATACTCAAATAATGCTCTCTCTTCTTTTTTTTTTCGTTTTTCGTTTTTCGAAAAGCACCACGACGGTCACTTTATTTGGTTCCGCTTTTTGAGATCCATTTTTGAGATCCCTGCCACTCATTCATTTTTAAATTTTCTCGAATTCCTGCTCGAATCATTTTCAATGAATTATTCTTATTCTATGCACATCGAAAGACACGGACAACGGACAAATATAGTACATCGAAATTTTGAATTTTAAATTTGAATTTCACCTCCTCTCTCTACTCTTCGTATTCCTTCTGCTTCGTATTCCTGAAAAGGAATTTGACGAATCATCTTTTTCACATCCATCTCCATCTCGTCCCCCACAATATTTTTCAGTTTTCTGTGAATTCCCACATTTTTCGTCCCGTAGAATCTTGATAATCTGACGTACTATGTCACAAAAGATCACATTTCAACTTCGAGCACACACAGGGGTGTCCCATGTCGTTTCTCATCTACCCTCTCTTCTTTCCTTCGATTCCAAAGCTCAGAAGAAGGACAAGTCGACTTTTCATTTTTCCCTGTGTTCTCAGAGATTACAGTAGATTAATGCGTTTTTAATACTTTTGAGAAAACCCAAAAAAGTGCTGAAAGGAATTTTTGAGTTGGAAATTTTCAAGCAGGATAAGATATACAAAAACGCATTTTCCAGTTGATTTTTACCATTTTCAAACGTCTGGAACTCGATGGTCAAGTATCCTTTGAAAACTTTGGAAAGTTTGACGCTGACCTAGATTCAAACCTTAATATTCACAGAAAATTTTGAAAATTCCTAGTTTTTCAGCTATTTACCGATTTCTTGAAAACACCATTTGGGACGTTTTTGTAATGAAAATGTGAAAAAACAGTTGCGCTTCAGGAATTTCCAAGTAGCTGGGAAACTAAGAATTTCCGAAAAGTTTCATTAATCCAAAATTTTTAATCTAGGTCGGTTTCACATCTTCCACAATTTTCAAAGCGATCA